GAAAGTGGTATTTAATGGTTGTTATATAAACTAATTTAATATATTTGTAATGAATAAAAGTTTGAATGAATAATTTGTAATGTTATTCATAATGTTTGTGACTTATGAGACACGAACACATAACTCCATACATATTTTTCAGAGGGCGGTTTAATAATTTTTTAGACTTAACGTTAATTAAAATAGGTAGAATATAGATAATAATATTATTACTTTTTAGACTTAAACGGGTAAGGCTGTGAAAATAACTCATTTAATATCTTTGTCTCGTGCATCGCACGGGGTACGTACTAGTCACAACCACAACATAAAAAAATTAGGGAAATTTACATATGTAGATCTCATATAATAAATATTTATATATATACGGGCAATATAAACTTTTATCACATTGGGATTTTGATGTAATCTTTTTTTCATATCTGCGATATGAGTTTCTCACACTTGTCATAATTTTCTCTCTCTCCATATTAAACACGCATTAATTTAAGGATATGGAATTTCTCATCTGCTCATAATTTTCTCTCTCTCCATATTAAACATGCATTAATTTAGGGATATGAGATTTCTCACATGCTCATAATTTTCTCTCTCTCCATATTAAACATGCATTAATTTATAGTTAAATAATTGTAAGCAAAGAAAGAAAAATCGAAAAAAAAATAACAAATCAGATTTCAAAATTTCAAACGGTTAATCGACCCTTATTATCCCATTGGGATCTGACACACGGGTATTACCCTGTTGGGGTCTTTTAGTTGTTTTAGTTGTCTTATTTTGTTTAGTTGGTCAGTTTAGTTTGCGAGTTTTAATTCTAGCGTTGCTAGCGGGAATCTAGGCGGTCTTCTGACCTGTCCTCCCACTTTATTCTCCCGTTGGGAGCGTTGTATCTTTGTTCGCACATTTGTGCGCTTTTGATTTATAATAGTTCCCCTGTCGTTTTGGAAAAAAAAAAAAAAACGGTTAATCGACATCTTGAATTTGAGAAAAAAATTGTCCAACACCCAAATATATGTTTAGATATACTGTATATATACAATATATAAACATGATCAACCAGTACTCTAATATTAACCGTATAGTTATATATAAAATAAACAAGATATAAACAATTCTGAAACGTGATAAAACATAATACACAATTCCGAATGATTGCAAAATCCAAATCAAATGTAATTATACATAAGATAAACAACATAACAGTCTCGCCGTCAAGCCGCGGATATGGGCCAAGTCTTCAACTGTATAGCCGCATATGGGTAAAATAAAGGAGATGATGTTTTTTAGTTTTTGGTGAAAAGATATGGTGAAACAAAACAAAGAAGATGATATTCATCCTCATTTTTTATTTTGGATTGTGGATAGGAGGATTTTCGATTAGTAAACCAAAAAAAAAATAAAGATCGGAGCTTATCAAATATTGCTCCTAAAGTAAACTTCTTTTTATTAAAATCATCAAGGTAATATGTTTGTGTGCAGTGACAGATCTAAGAATTTTAGTCAGGGGGGCCCAATTTTTAATGTCAAATAACGAACTTGTAGTTTAAATCGAAACAACTCATTTCATATAAAAATGTAATTACTATAAATATAAATATCGATGTCATCAAGTTTTCAAAAACATAGAATTCGTCTCACTCTCAAACTTTTTTTTTAAGAAAAAGAAAATAAGATTTCATGTATTTACAATTTAAGTTCAACAAATATAATTTATGGAAAAGTAAGTTTTTTTTTTTTTTTNNTTTTTTTGTGGAAAAATTGATGTAAATTGAATTTTTCCAGCTCTTTGCATAACATTTTTGTTGATAAGAGTTTATCAAATGAACATTTTTAACAAAAAAAAATAAAGTTACAAATGTGTGATTAAAAAGGGTCAAATTCGACATTCTATATCGTAACAATCCAACTAAATACATGGTTTTATAAATCTCAAAATCGATTTACAATTAAGAGTCCGAAAAAGTAAATCACTATCAATATTTTTTAAACTTATTTGGAAATGTAAAAATAATGATTGTTAGTACATTTTTTAATATTATTAATATAAATTAACATAGACAATGAAATTTAATTATTTATATATTATAAATGTTTTTGCATTTTTATATATATTTTATATAATTTTGTATATATATTTATATATATGTATATATTGGCTTTTAAAAAAATGAGGGGGGCCCATGGGCCCCCCTGGGCCTCATCTCCATCCGTCCATGTTTGTGTGTGTGTGTGTGTTTTATATTTGGTTTTGTTTCTTTGTTTTCATATTACATGAGTTGCAGTTTAAACCACAAAGTATATTGCATAATAACCATCAAATATAAGTTCATATATACTATATATATACATCAGATAAACATGGTCTGACAGTTCTCTAATATTAACCGTGTAGTCATACGTAAGATAAACAACATATAAACAATTCTGGAATGGGATAAAACATAATACACAATTTTGAATGACTGCAAAATCCAAATAAAATCTAGTTATACATAAGATAAACAACATATAAACAACTATGAAACGGGATAAACATAATACACATTGATATTAAAAAAAAGTGAGATTTTAAAAATATATGACATATCTAAACAACATTAACTTAAAAAATACATAAACTTCAACCGGTGCTACTGATGGCCGAGTTTCCGCCAACCGCACAACTTTCACATCGTTGATGGGTCGAGCAACCGCGCACTCATGTCAGGCAAGCATCAACCTTTGAGAGCCTTCGTCAGTGCGGGCCTCATACGTTGTGCTACCGCTCGTAGCCCGACCGAACTGGACCTTCATAGATCCGAAAATGAAAGGCAATTTCTAAAAAAGAAGAGATGAGGGAGGGAGGGAGAGAGAGAGAAGAGGTAACTTCGGCTGTCGTGGGAGTCGGTTTCTTGGAACCTTTCGGATCTCAAATTTTCTGAAATTGAAGCTTATTTTGGATGACCTTATGCTCGAGTGCTTAAAATTGGGATGTTCAACGAGATCGGTAGCATATTAATCTTGCTTCATCTTCATTGTTGACGTAGTTGGCCTCATTTTAATTTTTTGGCCATTAAAAATTTATGGAGTCTGTAGTGGTTTTTTTTTGTATGTTTAGGGAAGATGAGTTCTTGCAATTTTTCTTGTGAAGATGTTACACGGCAACCAAAGTTGTGAGAGAGAAAAACAATATTTTTTTTATTGATTTAGTGTTGTGTGTGCAAGGAAAGAGAATAACTCTCCTCCCAATTATCATGCAATGAGATAACCACCATCCTTATTTACAATTTTCCTTAATTATATACATAGTAAGTAATTGTGATGAAAAAATGTGCATATCGTATTATTAATATCACCCCTATATATAATTCCTGAATGCGCTGAGCCTACGTGGCTGCTTCTGGTGCTTCGGAATCCTACTTGGCGAAAAATCATGCTTCGTAATTAGGTTTGGACAAATAATATTGATATATTACTAATTAATAATCTAGGTTCAGAAATTCTATAAATAATATTTAGCTAACTTAGGTATTTTAATATCAATTGTACTAATATAACCCTTTATTTTTTTGTAATTATGCATAATGAGGCATTAAGTGACTAATATATCCCTGATTTTTGATTTGTTTCCTTCAATTAGCTATTGAATTGTAAATTTATTTTAAAAGTTGATAACTTTTTTATTTCTTATCGGTTTTACATATATACTATGTCAAATTAATCATCTTTTGATGATCTTCGATTTGACATCCATATTGTATATATGAAATAAATAAATTATTTTTATCTTAATAATAATAAAAAATAATAATATTTATTAAAATTCATTACAAAAATAAAATTAGAGCTCAATTGATATATTTATGTTTAATGTAGTTATATTTATAAGTTAAAAAAGTTATTATAATATAACACAGGTAAGTCGCACAAATAAAAAATATCATACTAAATATATAATAATATATATATTTTTATAAAAAGGTATTTAAATTTTTAATTAATTTGTCTTATCCTCCCTATCCTCCCAATATATAATTGCAGAATGCGCTGAGCCTACGTGGCTACTTCTGGTGCTTCGGAATCCTATTTAGCGAAGAATCATGCTTCGTAATTAGGTTTGGATAAATAATATTAATATATTAATAATTAATAATCTAGGTTCGGGTATTCCATAAATATTGTTTAGCTGATTTAGGTATTTTAATATCACTTTTACTAATATAACTGTTTAATTCTTTGTAATTTTACATAGTGAGATACTAAGTGACTAATATATCCCCGAATTTTGATTTGTTTCCTTCAATAAGCTATTGAAATATAAATGTATTTTAAAAGTTGATAACTTTTGTATTTCTTATCGGTTTACATATATAATATATCAAATTGATCATCTTTTGATGATCTTCGATTTGACATCCATATTGTATATATATGAAATAAATAAAATATATTTATCTTTCTAATAATAAAAAATAATAATATTTATTGAAATTCATTAGAAAAATAAAATTATTTTTCAACCGATATATTTATATGTAATGTAGTTATATATTGTAAGTTAAAAAAAATTAGTATAATATAACACAAGTAAATTGCACAAATAAAAAATGTCATAATAAATATATATAATATATATATTCTTGTAAAAGGTATTCACATTTTCAAACTACTTTTTCTCATTAATTTTTAATTTTAAGAAAAAAATTAGCAAGCACTCGTGTAATACACGGGTGTTGTACTAGTTATTAGTAAAACAAGAGTAAGGAGAGTAATTTTCTCAAAAAATTATAAGGTGTCTCCCGTTTATTAAGATGCAGAATGAGAAGCGTAACAAAACAGGCCCAACAAAGGCCCAAAAATAAAAAACAATACGGATAGGTCTCCCGTTTATTAAGGTGTAGAGGGATAGAGGGAGATAGAACTGCAACCTTTATTTTTTTTCCCCTTTTTTTTTTCCTTCTTGAAAATCGGCCTGTTTTGTTACGCTTTAGTTAAAACAAAATTGTTTACCATTCATTCAGATGGAGATTATAAATCTCTTCTCCAGCGAAAAGGGCTTCCAAGAGGTAAGTAATACAAGTAAGAGATGATAAATCTCTTACTTTTTTTTTTT